ACGGGCCCAATACTACCTTCCACACCTACCTGTATCTTCCCTAAGGCCATGTCTGATATCCCTACTTCACCCAATCATAGATCATGAATCATAAGCACAACACGAACTCAGATCCTAGACTATTCTAGGATTTCTCATTCATCCTCAACCAAAGACTTACATTAATCATAGCAGGTTGCCCTCTGCATACAAGTTGAAAAACGATTTTACCTCTTCCTCAGTTTGAGTTTTGACACACCCAAGAGTGTGCCCAAATCCCTAAACCAAGGCTCTGATACAAACTTGTAACAGCCCAAAAATTTCAAGTAAAAATTTTCATTTAAATATTAACAATTCATGTTTGATAATTAGAAATTCCCATCAAAATTTGTTTTTCCAAAAATCCATTACATCAACATGTTATTCAGAAAGATCAAAGTGTCCATAACAACTTAAGGGAAAAATGTTGGAGTGTGCACACTGCGCCATCAAGCCGGACCCTTGCCCTTAGAGGTAGAAGTACCTAAAACATTCAACAAAACAGTAAGCACACGCTTAGTAAGTTTCCCAAAACACACAAACATAACATTACATAATACCATGCATACATACATATAAGTTTGCCATGGACTCCCTACATGGTCTTCATTGGAATGCCCTGGGCTACCCCCATGGTCTTATGTCCCCGAGCCATGGGCTCCTCCGATGGTCTACACATAAGTCCACATATAGATCAAATAGCAAACAACTACATATTCCAATACAAAACATCTCATAACCATTAATGGGTCGGCCTTGGTGCCTTCGACCCATGAGTGTAGTGAGAAGACTCACCTCGAATACTCAACAATAGCTGACTAGGTCCCGGCTCCGAATATCAGCTCTACTCGACCCCTAAACAGAAGCAAATCCTTAGATTCAACTCAAAATGCCCCAAAACCCTTTATAGGTCAAACTTGTTCAAAGATCAAAGTCAAAAGTCAAAGTCAACGGTCCAAGTTGACCCAACTCGATGAGTTGTCCTTCAACTTTTCGAGTTTATCAATTAACTACACAAACCGGGAAAAGTCCTATCAACTCACCGAGTTCACTAATGAACTCGCCGAGTTAGCCAGAAATCCAACAGCTTAATGCCTTAAGCTGTTTCCATCGATTCTAAGAACTCCAACTCTCAGATCTCCTTCAAAATGATGTCTAGAAGGGTAAAGTTTCCAACTTTACCCTTAAATAAAAATGAGTCAAACCCAAACCCTAGACTCATTAGGTTGAGGCTTGATCCATTAAGCCCTTAAACTCTCAAATCAAAGTCCCAAAACACATATTTGCCATCCAAAGGTTGGAATAACACATAAACTTTCTAACTTTACGTCCATGCACGGTAAGAAGAAACCCTAGGGCTCAAAATGGGCTAAAAAGGAACTTATTGCATGAATGGGACCTAGAACTTAGCAAAGCTTGCAACTTTAAGCCAAAAGGGGCCATAAAATGGTCAAATCTAACATAACAACCCATGGAACACTCAGCTTCTTGGACAAATTACCCATGAGCCCAAAAACAAGATAAAACTTCAAAACAGAGAGATCTAAATGATAACAAAGCATGGTATGGACTTGATACCGTTAAGTGATTGCAACAACTGTGGAGATTCTGGATCTAAGCCTTCCCTCCAAGCTTTACACCTCCAACTTCAAAGCTTCTTCAAAAGAGCACAAAAGATCAACACTCCACAAGCTCACACACTCACAAAAGGAGATGTTTCACTCTATTAGGGTTTTCTGGACAGAGGAGGCTGGTAAGGAGGCCAACCAAATGACTTAAGGCCTTTAAATAGGGTGCAACACCCTAAAAATTAGGGTTTTCATCCCAGCCGCCAACTCGCCGAGTTGGGACACCCTGACTCGCCGAGTTGGGACACCCTGACTCGCCAAGTTGGTCCATTAATATTCGCGGCCAAAACCCTCTCGACATGACAAGTTGAATCCTCCAACTCGTCGAGTCCCAAAGGAAATTTATAAATAATTGGAGAATTAAACTTATATCGGAACCAAACGTTACAGACAGGAACGATAAGGGAGGCAATGGTTGTGAAAAAAGAAATATCATATTTGGATTAGAATTTAGAAAACGTTTTTCAAAATTAGAAGCTATATTTTTAAAAAATGTCAAAAATATATTTTTACGTCTTTTGTCTTCTGAAAAACAAATAATTTTTCCTCTAAGTATCTTTCCTCCCACAGACATGAGATGTAAAAAAAAAAACCTTTTTGGAAAAAAAACCATCTTAATCTGTCACTTAAATGTCAAAAATCTGCTAAATTATATATCAAATGTGTTACAGGCAAGTCGATCGATCTAACTCAAACAAATTTAACTAAACTAAAACCAACAAAATATAAACATAAATCCACATATTAAACAGTAAAATAGGCAAACATCCTTGAAGGTCTTCTACACCTTCTCCTTAACCTTTGAACTTGAAGCAATTAGACCTGCTGGGATAAATGCTAAGGTGAGCTTCATACTAACAAGTTTTTTTTTTTTTTTTTTTTTTTTTTTTTTGAAAATATCATATCCATAAATCATGGAACGAGCATTTCACATTCAAAGGGCAAATGCCTGAAATACCATTTCCCCATAAACAAATATTGATATCATTCACTCCTAAACTGAATTCTTTTAGGTTAGCATATATCTATATTTAAAAGTAAAGAATAAAGTATATATCCATATTTAAAAGTAAAGAATATGTATCATTTTCGATTCTAAACTTATTTTATTTTATAATATATATGTCTGTATTTTTTTTTTTTTGGTGAATTATAGATGAAACTTTGGTCATTAATCTCAGGTTTTACTTGTAAAAATTATTATAATATGATATAACAATTATTTCTTCTAGAAAAATCACGTAAATCCATTTTTTTATTAGAAATGGTATTCCCATTTAGAGGAGGCGTCCTCGGAGATGGTTCATCAGATACAAAGACGTCGCAGGCGACATTGCATTACCCTCTGTCACCCCTACTTGAAATCTAGCGACTGTCCTAATCATGTGAGTCTGATACAAATTCGAGTAGATCTATATCAACGTTAAATTAATAATTTCTTAAGTATTTTCGACTTAAAATAAGTTAAATATTTTCTTCATTAAAATGTATATTTTATTTAACAAATAACTAAATTAAAGTTATTGATGAATAATTATATATTGGGTTATGCTATAAATATCTCTTATCCATATTTAACACCTAAAGTCAATCAAATCAAATTTTTGACATTTGATTTGATTAGAGATGACAACAGGGACGAGGAATACATGGGACATCAATCCCCATCCCCATCCCCGAATTCTCATTCCAATCCTCATCCCCATTGGGGAATATAAATAAACCCCCCATCCCACCCCCAATGGGGACTGGTGATCTCCGGTGGGGTATCAGAGATTTTTTTTTCTTATTTAATATGAAAACTTTTACTTAAAGGAAAACTCTAAAATTCAATTTTAACAACATAAGTTTAAAGATTTTACAAAATATAAAATATCTATAGATTGCATAAAAAAATATAAACAAATTTTCTACCAATTTTAAATGTACATGAAAAATTAGGTAGAAAAAAATTATCAAAGTGATATTTGAGATAAAATAGATAAACCAAATAGAAAAAAAAAATAATACACGAGTTTAAATTAGATAAAAGAAAAATAAAAAGTATAATCTCAACCAAGTAATTACTAATGAGTTAGGTTACTTGGATCAAGTTTTATGTGTTGTAAATTGTACTATAAATATATGTTTTGTATTATTTTTATATATTAGTATATATCGGGGGCAGGTCAAGGGTCGGGGATTAAGGGTATCCCCATCCCCATCCCCATCCTTACTTTTTTATTCGGGGATTCCCCATCCCCGGTCAACTTGGGGATTCCTCAGTTAAAATGGATGCGAGTTTCGGATTCCCCATCGGGTATGGGGTTTTTTGCCATCCCTAGATTTGACATCATTTTTTTTTCTTTCTTAACAGAAATTACTATATATTATTATTATTATTATTATTATTATTATTATTATTATATTTTAATATTATTATTATTACTATTGTTATAAATTTCGTATAAAATTTTAACATTCGGAAAACATTATATATTCGAACGGCTATATAAAATCGGTTTTTTAAATATTTTTTATATTTTAATATTAATATTATTATTGTTATCAATTTCGAACACATTTTATAAATCGGACAATATAAATTCGGATAGTTATATAAAATCGGAACAAAAGCAAAGTTTGTCCCTATTAATTACAGATCAGAACATTCGATTGCATGGAAAACATTGTATAGTGTTCGACTAAATGTTTTCAATCCGCATAACGCACCATGCAATTGTAATACCATACCAATTAAGATCCGTAATTAATAGGGACAAACTTTGCTTTTGTTCCGATTTTATAAAGTTGTTCAAATTTATAATGTCCGATTTATAAAATGTTATTCGAAATTTATAATAATAATAAGAATAATAATATTAATATTAAAATATAAAAAAATATTTAAAACCCATTTTATATAGCCGTTCGAATTTATAATGTCGTCCGAATATTAAAATTTTGTGCAAAATTTTTAATAATAATAATAATAATATTAAAATATAATAATAATTAAAAAAGAATTAAAAACAACAAAAAAAAACAAAATATGAAAAAAAAACACAAAAGACAAAACCTCATATCAAAGGTGTGGGATTGAAAAATGAGGGGTATTTATAAAAAAACCGTTATATATTTAGAGTAATTGTTAACAAGACAAAGTTGGCAAAGGTATGTATCACACTTAGTCTTACATTCTGCTAAAAGCCTTTGAGAAATAATTAAATACTTAAATTGAAAAATATTTTCAACTTGGTTGATGAATTGATACTACACACATAACAAATTATTGTTTTAAAAAGTTTCTGAGAAGTAGTAAGGGTTTAAGTTTTAACAAAGTATTGTACCTTCGTTTCATATGTCGAAGCGACTTTATCCATATGTCTTTTTTCTGATTCGATCAATACACCGTGTTTGTAAAAAGTTTCCGATAACAATCCCAACAACTAGCCCACTTCCAACTCCACAGAATATGATAATCCAATCAATAGTTTCCTTTGGAAGGAGAGACGCAGACGTATTTCTTGCACTTGCTGATGGAAGTCTTGTCACCTTTGAGTCTTGACATTCCTTTGATAAAGGTAGTCCACACAACCGGGGATTCCCTTCGTAGGAGTTGTTCTCGAATGTATTAAATTGTTTCCCTTGCGGTATGTGCCCATCAAGATGGTTGAAGGACACATTGAAAATCGCAAGGAAACCGAGTTGCAACAATTGATGAGGAATTTCTCCGGATAGCTGGTTTTGAGAGAGATCCAATGATTCAAGATTCGTTAGGTACCCCAATGATGGCAAGATAGGTCCGGTAAAACGGTTGTTTGAAAGGTTGAGTGATTCAAGCCCTTGAAGATCTTGGAGTGATAGTGGGATTTCTCCTTCAAAATAGTTCGACGAGATATCAATAGCTGTGAATATGGTTAAAATCTTTTGGTACTCTGTTCTGACACCTTTGTGTATCAATGTCATGGAGTATGATGAATTTGTGTGGAACGTTCCCAAGGCAGAGGATATCTCGGATGCCATAACGGATGAATTGCCTTCATAGACCGATTTCATAGCATTCCAAGTTTGGAAATACTTTTGCTGCAACTGACCATTAAAATCGTTGTTAGAGATGTCTATGATCCGCAACTTAGAGAACTGTGAACCAACATTTATGGAGCCTTGAATTGGACCGTAAAAGCTGTTGGACCGCAAAACCAGAACTTTCAGTTGGGCAAGAGTTCCCAACCAAGAAGGAAAGATGTCATTAAAGGAGTTCTCTCCAAGCGAGAGAACCTCTAAATTTGTACAATTTATCAATGATCTTGGCAGCTGACCCATAAATCTATTTTCGCTCAAATCGATGCTTTTCAACATGCTTCCATGCATAAACTCATTCATCATTGTTCCATGGAAGTTATTTCGTCTCAGATTAAAAACCAACATCGAATTGCTTAAGCTGCCTAAACATGGTGGAAGTGTTCCGCTCATGTGGTTAGAAGACAGATCCAACAGTTGAAGAGGTTTCACTTCACATATTAGTGATGGTATTTCTCCAGTCAGATTATTATCTGAGGCGTCATAAAAAACTGTTGTTTTTGGTGGAATTGGTAGTTGTCCTCGTACCTGATTATTACCGATGAAAAATCCTTCTAAACGTTCCCATGGCAGAAAACGAGGATGCTGATGAAAGCCAGTGATTGAATTGTTGGAAAGGTTAATCACCTGTAATGTTTCTCGGCTGTTGTTCCATATCCATATCGGTACCATGCCATCTATTTTGTTGTAGGCAAAAAATAAGCCATTCATTCTATTTTGGAAGCGCAAAAAGGCAGGAAATTTCTTCACGTTGCATGATTGGAGACCTAAGACTTTCAAGTTTGGTAAGGTGCTATCGCTATAGTTGTTGTTGTCCACTAATGAGATTTTGTTATAACCTAAATTAAGATTTTGGAGTTTGTTGAGTCCTAGGAATATGTCTAAGTCTAGCCTACCACTGAACTCGTTATACTGAAGAAAAAGAAGCTGTAGACTTTTAAAGTTGGAAAAAGAGCGTGAAATTGGTCCTTGCAATTGATTTTTATAAAGGACTAACTGTGTTAGTTGTGTGAGGTTGAAAAACGAGGATGGCATATGACCGGTAAGAAAATTATATCCCATTGAAACTACACTAAGTTTGGTTAGATTGGCAAGAAAGACTGGGATTTCCCCGTGTATATTCATATTAGCTAGAGACAGTTCATCAAGTTTAGTCAGCTTGCCAATCCAATTGGGCAAGCGTTCCTTCTCGAATTTGTTATCATCAAGTTCCAAAGAATTGAGTTTCGAAAGACTGACCAATGAAGGAACGAAGCCTGTGAAATTATTGCTACCAAGACCCAAGTTAGTGAGTTGTGTCATATTAGAGAGCGAACTTGGCATGCGCCCCGAGAAAGAGCATCCAGAAAGGACCAATAATATTAAATGGTTTAGGTTGCCTATGGATTCTGGTAAAGTCCCAAAGAAACCTGTGAAAGCTAGATCCACATGTTCAAGTAAGCTTTTTTTACGAAACTCTGGGAAGGAACCAGAGAGGTCGCTATTGGATGCCAAACTAAGAATTTTCAACTTTGGTAGCTCAAATATGGCTACAGGGAATTCATCTTGAAGCAAACAATCTTCTAGCATGATTGACCGAAAAGAAGAAAAGTTGGCCAAGAAATGAGGTACCGAAGAATTAATGTCAACCCCTGAGAGATGGAGTTCTTCAAGTCCTGTTAAGTTTTGCACCAGGTTCTTCAGGCTAGGACTTCGAAGCTTTAGTGGATTCCATGACAGATCTAAAGAAGACAATTGCACCAATTGTGAAATTTCATTCGGGATTTGGCCACTAAACCCACAACCAGAGAGATTGAGGCTTCTTAATTGCTTTAGACTAGCAATCTCAGACGGGATTTGAGATTCATAAAAATCATTCATTGCAAGGTTGAGCCTCTGAAGATGAACAAGGCGGAAGAGGGTGCTGCTAGAGTTGATATGCCCACAAATAAATCTTTCGCTCAAGTCAAGACCGATCACATGACCATATTCATCGTCTTTGCTACAGACCACTCCATCCCACGAACAACACTCAAAACCGTTATTCGATGCATTTCTCGTGGGTTTCCATGAGTCAAACATTTGAAATCCACTCATAGCACAAGCAGCATCATCTTCATGAATGATGCTTTGCTTAAATTGGAACAAGGCCGAGCATTCCTCATCATGGCTTAGTGATGATCGGGTGCATGTGACTGTGACAAAAACGTATACAATGGAGATGGTTTGTAGCAAATAGAAGTAATTCAGGTATTGAGCCATGCATAAAAAAAAAGGTTTATTCTCATTGTCTTTGGACCCGCTTTATTGTTCTTTATATACACCATGTATATGTTCAAACATTCAACCATGTAAATGGATAAGATATCATTCGTTGTGGGAAAGGGCAAAGGGGGACAAATAAATGGCAGATGAAAAATCCACTAATAGAGCCAAACCAAAAAGACTTACAACCCTAATTGCATTGTTTTCCCATCTTGTCGACCTTAAAACAAGTATTTTTTATTATGTAACCTATTTTTTATTTTATTACTCTTTTTTTACCATAATAACATACTTTAATAAATCTTATCATTATAGCCATTGGTGGCCTAAATGATAGATAATCAGATGTGATCTGATTGTTTACATGGATGTCAAATCGACATTACGAGCATTTAATTTTAATTTTTACAATATAAGCTTATTTGTAGATACCTTTTATATCTTTATCGTAGGGTCATATTAAATGTACCTCTAAGATCTTAATTGTCAGCCTACTGTTGATTTCTATTTCCGATAAATTCACATGCATACTAATTGGTTACATGATTTTTTACACTTCCAGAAACAGAGAGATGGACGATTCCGTTGGAAATCCATCGTTGATGACCAACAACAGTGACAGATCAGCGAAGGGCACAAATCGTACGTTATTGCTAAATATTATACTTTGATTTTGTTTCTATTCCAACATTGTACTTAGATTTTTTTTCTTACCACGATATTGTAGTTTGAAAAGTCAACTAATATTAGCAGTGAAAATTATTTATGTTTGGATAACATGCATTGGCAGTTTGGCACATTATTCCATAACTGGATAGATGTTTCAAAGTATAATGTTTTATACGGACCGAATCAAAGTAAGATGAAAGAACAACGCTGCACATGCACAACTACTGTCACTTTAACCCATCCATTAGGAAATGGAGGAAACATTTACTAGAGTCAATTGGTTTGAAGTTAAACCCTACATATTATCAATTGATAGAGTGCAATAAAATATGTAACCTAATTAGGACCGCAGCATTATTCAACGTATCTCCCTTTCAGATATCTACAATGCAACCTCTTAATTAAGACCGTCACATTATTCAACATATCTCCCTTTCAGAAATCAATTATACGAAACCTATTGTATAAGACTGAAGCTTTGTTCAACATATCTCCCTTTCAGAAATCAATAATGCAACATATAAGACAGAAACATTATTCAACATTATCCCTTCCAGAAATCAATAACGGGTAGGAAGGGAAATACATGAAGAAAGAAAATTTCTTTTTTGGGTAAATTACACCAATCGTCCATCGTGCATACAGAAAGCGTGTTTAGTCGCTATTTTCAAAAATTAACTCGGATCGTCCCTCGTTTGCTTAAAATTTGCGTGCTTCGTCCCTGCGTACATAAAAAGACTATTTTGTCCTTAATAATTTCTTTTTCAATTTTCTTTTATTTGTTTATAAATTTTAAATTTAAAGAAAATAATAAATAAATAAATATCTCCACTTGATCGGACCTCCCCCTTCCCTTTCCTCATTTTGCTTTCGTCCCCCCAAACTCACCTGAAACAAAAATGGCAGACTGCCTCTCTCTACTCTGCTTCCGTCTCTCACTACTTCTCTGAAGATAAAAACCTTATTACGACTCTACAACTCTAGATCCATCGACATCGTTGTGGAAAATAACTATGTTGTCTCTCCTGTCTTTGTATCTGTAAATTGGATTCAAACGAGAGACGTTGATAACGATGAAGTCGCCTTCAACGATTACACTGTCGACCGAAAACCTGCAACTCTAAATTTTCCATCACCTTAGTGTTGATTTCCGATAGGGGATCCCGAGGGGTTGTGTGTCGATATCAGTTGATTTTCCGAAGTATGCGAGGGGTTGTGTGTCGATTTCCGGTGGGGGTTTGATTCCTCTTAAGACCACCACAGTAAACCCAACTTCAAACTCTGATTTAGGGGTTGTGTTTCTTTTGATTATATTTGAGCAAAATGATTTTGGGTTTTGGATTTAATCAAACTAATTTTGCCCTAATTCTGAGTAGATTTAGGTTTGTGGTTTTTCTAAGATTGTTACATCAGATTATTGTTTTAATTTTGTTTGCTGGTGGTAGTTGATAGCAATGGAGGTGGCAGATGTGGTGTTTGAGGGTGGAGGTGGATTTTTCCAGTAGTGATGATGGAGCGGTGACAGATGGTATTCGAATGGGTTTTTTTTTGGTTTGTTGGTGTTTGTACAGGAGGGTGGCGGTGGTGGTCTTAAGCTTTGAACAGGTGGTATAAGGAGGAGGTGAAAGGTGGCTTGATGGAAGCAGGGTGGTGGTCTTGAGCTTTGAACCGGGGAGTTGGGTGGTACAAGGTGTTGGTAGATTTCCAATTGTAGTTGTGCAAGTTTCTATTGGTGGTGTAGATTTCAAGTGATGGTGGTAGCTAGGTGGACCCATAATCTTAATTAAAATATTTATTAATAATTAAAAAGAACGTAAATGTCAAAATAAATGAAAAAGAAATTACAAAGGGCATTTTAGTCATTTCATGTATCACAAAGGATGAAATATACAAATTTAAACTAACGAGGGATGAAGCGTGCACCTTTCTACCATATAAGGGATTGTCTGAGTTAATTTTTAAAAATAAGGACTAAACACGCTTTCTGGCATATGCACGAGGGACGATTGGTGTAATTTACCCTTCCTTTTTTTGTAGGCCTTTTGGCATAAAAGTCCAAGTTTTGCAATTTTTGTGGCTATAGTCCATCCAACGATTTTTGGTGGATTAATGCCTAATATTTTCAAACTTTTTTTCATCTATGCTATTTAGCCGGTTTGCCTGTCCATAGCAGGTAACTTTTGGCTTAGATGGTGCTGACTAGGCTTTTCGCTGACGCGAGGCTGACTGGGCTAGCCATGTTAGCATGTTATTTCTTAATCAAAAGATCTGAAAAGTCTTAAAAATATGTAGTTAACAAGGTTTGAACCCTCGCCTACTACAGAACAAGGCAGTGCAATTACCACCGGGATAAACAATTTTTGTTTTTTGATGCCTGAAATATTATATATAAAGTATTATACTGTTAAATCTATTATTATTATTAATATAGTTATTATTATTAATATTATATATTCTTATTTTAGATATAGATATATATATATATAGATATAGATATATATAGATATTATATAAAGTATAAATTCACTTCAAAATGTATATAACACGTATTTGAAGGTATTTGTATCTGTATTTAAAAGTATACATACTCTTTCAAATATATATTTTCAATATATAAATACCTTTAAATTTTATTTATACTTTTAAAACATATTTTTATTGTTTTTTTATACATAAAGATAACGTTTTATACGTATGACATTTTTATTTGTAAAATAACTTTACAAATGATAAAATACAAATATAATACATTATTATACATAACATATTAAATATATAAATAATATTTTTTATACATTTTTATATATAACGTTTTTATATGAATTTTATTTATTTTAAACGAATTTATACATTTATATACGTTATAAAATAGAGTTATTTGTACATTTTTATTCAAATTTATATATTTCTTAACAAGTTTATGTATTTTTATACGCTATAAAATATATTGATTTGTATTTAATAGATATGAATATATATTTATTTCATATAAGAATAATACAAATACAAAATTCTATACGTTAAAAAATATTGTCATTTTTGTACATTAAAGTATACGTTTTTTATACATTTTAATATTAATAAATACGTTTTATTTAATTGTAATAATAATGATAATAATAATAATAATGATAATAATAATAATAATAATAATAATAATAATAATAATAATAATAATAATAACTAGCGGAAAAACTTTGGCTTCGCCCCAGGCCGTTTTTTGTATTTTTTATGAAAAAATGTAAAAGTTTTGATTGTAAGGACCAAAAGTGTCAAAATGGTTAAAGAATTAAAGTGGTTGGAATTAGCATGTTTTTAGAAAAGGGACCAAAGTTGTCAATACTTTAAAGTTTTGTGGACAAACTTTGGATATTAAAAGGTTCCTAAAAAATGTAAAATTTTGATTGAAATGACCAAAAGTGTCAAAATGGCTAAAAAATGAAGGGTAAAGTTGATAAAAAAAACATGCAAGTTTGCTATTTATAAGGGAACAAAGTTTATATATATATATATATATATATATATATATATATATATATATATATATATATATATATCTTACTACTTTATAATACATATATAATGTGGGGTCTACTAAATTTTAAGACCAAACTCTTAAAAACAAGGAGATTAATTTTAATCCATTAGATCTTAATTTAATGGTGTAGATGATTATATCATATGGTGATTAAACATCAGCCACCGTATGACTAAACATCAGCCAATCAAATACAAAGATTAAATGTATCACCTTTTAAACGTATTGTACCATCTATTATGCTTAAAGAAACACATTTTATATTTAATAGGAAGTGCCGTTTGATATCCTCATTTACTATTTTAATCAGATACTCCCTCTCTGAATTCATAGAAAATTAACACTTTCTATCTCTAAACCGACATTTTGATTTATTAATTTAAAGACATAATGTTAGTCTTCGGCAGCAGAAACACCACCACCGTCTCTAATGTCTCCACCACTGCCACACCACCTGTGGGGGTCTCTCCTTTTTCTCCCTTTCTGTTTCTATGACGTAACCATAACTAACCCACCGCTCCTACATATCGCATCCTTCGTAACCATTAGCAAACAACCAAATCCGTACACACAACCGTCTCCACGATCTTCCACTCTCCACCACTCATTGCCCTTATCACCGTTCCTCATCTGCTACCACATCCTTAATGTTGTCGCTACTTCCCTTCGTAACCACCAGCTATGATATTTTGTGTATTCACATTTGTCTAGATCTATTTTTCTAAAGGCATATCTTGTAGAAGAAAAATGTAGTACACATTGTGAGAAGCAATAAAACGTGTGTGTTCGT